GAATTGGATATGGAGACTCTTCCCTGAAAACTCAACGTATATTCCCTGGAGGAGAGAAAGGAAATGAACACTTCCCCTGATCAGAACAGCCTAAAGCAGACAAGGAACTGTTGTTTCCTGCCTTGTTTCTAGGTGGCATCTCCTGGGTTTAAAAATAATTCATGATTTTCATCATTCCCATTCCCAGTTATTCCCTATGTGTCTTAGTGGATCAATACAAAGAGAGTTCTCAGTTTGAGAGAAAGGGTTCATGGGGCACCTGGGTGACTCAGTGGGTTAAAGCCTCTGCCTCCGGCTCAGGTCATGATCCCAGGGTCCCGGGATCGAGCCCCTTATCAGGCTCTCTGCTCAGCAGGGAGTCTGCTTCCTCCTTCTTTTTGCCTCTGCCTGCTTATGCTCTCTCTCTCTCACCCCCCTCCCCGACAAATAAATAAATAAATAAATAAAATCTTAAAAAAAAAAAAAAAGAGTAAAGGTTCAAGGTCAGCCAGGGATGTCAGCCATAAATCAGGGGTGTGGTGAGAAAACAACGACCCCCAGTCCCAGGAGTGGACCTTGCAGATCATCTGAGAATCTTGTTGTCTGAGTCAGCAGGAGCCGCTATAACAAAATAAAACCAACTGAGAGATTTAAAACAACAAAAATGTGTGTTCTTAGAGTTCTGGAAGCTGGAAGTCTGAGATCAGGGTGCCGGCATGACCAGGTTCTGGGTGGCACTCTTCCTGGGGTGCAGACAGCACCTCCTTTCTGTGTTCTCACATGGCCTTTCCTCTGTTCATGGATGCAGAGAGGGAACAAGCTCTTTGGTGTCTCTTCTGATAAGGACATTAATCCCATCAGATCAAGTTCCACCCTTTTTTGACCTCGTTTAACCTTAATTACTTCCTTAGGGGCCCCATTTCCAAATACAGCCACACTGGGGGGTTAGAGCTTCAGCCTCTGTATTTTGGGGAACACACTCGTTCTACACGCTTGTAAAAAGGTAGAGTCTGAGTCAGTATATGTGCGGTGAAGCCTGAGATGCTCTATTTGGGGCACAGACCCCCTCTTTGAATAGCCCGTTTCTCATAGTACCCCTTTGTCACAAATAGGCAATCAAGACTTCAAAAGGTAAAGACACTTGCCTCAGCCCCACAGCTGGCATGCGATGGCTCCACACTTGGGGGGCAGGCGTCTGGCTTTAGCACAGGAACTGCTAACCATGACAACGTCCTGCAGTCAAGGCTTCAGCCTTGAGCTCCCAGCAGAACCCCTGGAGGGCTTGCTAACACACAGATCTCTGAGCATATCATCTGGTCCGGCCCCAGAAGATGCACTTTTTTAATAGGTTCTCAGGTGATGCTGGTGCTGCTGACCTGGGGATCACACTTGGAGAATCACAACTGTGCCTCGACTCTAGATCATTTTGCTTTAGATGTCCCTCCTCCCCATAGAAAGGAAAATAACGAGACACATGGCCTGAATTGTCCAGACTGACCAACCACCTCGAGTAAAATAAAATAAAATCACCTGAAAGGAAAGCAAAGTGCCTGGTGTTAGGACCCACTTCTGGGTGTAGACTTAGCTCCATCGTTGTGTGACCAAGGATGGGTGACCTGATCATTTACCTCAATTTTTATGTGGTAAAAAAATAAAAATGCCAACCTCGTTTGGTTACGGGGAGTTTAAAGACAAGTGTGAAAAACACCTACCATAGTTCCTAGTGCCAGGGAGGCTTCCAATCATCGCTCATTGTTTCAGTCCCATTTTACTGATATTAAAACATTCCATTACACAAAAAGCATAATCTTCAGATTATGATATTGTCTTCTTTTGTTTCACTTGTGATTCACACAGACCGAGAATTTGTTATGCTTAATAAATCACCATGGTGATAGCCTTCCACTTAATCAACCCTCTCCCACGGACGCATCAGTAGAGTAAACCCAGCTAGTTCTTGGGGAGAGAATAAATATTTCTATAGATTTAACTCACCCCACACTGAGCCACTATTGTTTGCAGACCCATGCATCATCCTGCCTTACCCATAGTCCTGCTCGCCTCCATCTCCATTGCTAGAATGGTCGGGCCCAAAACCTTGGCATGGTCCTTGGCCTCCATCTTTCTCTCATATTCCACATCCTATCCTTTCAGGCATCTATCTCTTCACTCCATCCATATTCTTTTTAAAAAAAATATTTTATTATGTCATTTTACAGAGAGAGAGACAGAACAGGGGCAGAGAACGAGGGCGAAGGAGAAGGTGGCTCCCCACTGAGCATGGAGCCTGACGCAGGGCTCAAACCCACAACCCGGAGATCATGATCTGAGCCAGAATCAAGAGTCAAATGTTTAACTGATTGAGCCACCCAAGTGCCCCACTCCATCCAGATTCTGACCACTTCTTACCACCTCCCTGCAGTCACCCTTCCCAGCCACACCACCACCTTATATCCAACCTTCTCCAGCCAACCCCAAACCAGTTTCCCTTTGTGCCCTTGGCTCTAAGTTGTCTATCCTGTTAAAACAGAAGTCAGAACATGTCTCTTCTCACTTCAAAACCTGTGAATGAAGACAAGCGCTGGCCAGGACGTGGAGAAATTGGAACCCACATGCACTGCTGGTGGGAATGTAAAATGGTGCAGCTGCTATGAAAAACAGTATGATGGTTCCTAAAAAAAATTAAACACAGAATTAGCCTGTGGTCCAGCATTTCGTCCTCTGGGCATCTATGCAAAAGACTTGAAAGCAAGGACTTGAACAGATGTGTGTACACCTATGTTCATTATTCACAGTATCCAAAAGGGAGAAACAGCCCAGTATCTATCCACGGATGAACATGGATGCACACAATGTCATATATACATGCAATGGAATATTCTTCATCCTTAAAATAATGGAAATCTGACACATACTACTAAGTACATGGCTGAGCCTTGAATGGAGTTGTGCTAAATGAAATAAGCCAGACACAAAAGAGCAGATACTGTACAATCCCTCTTATATGAGTGTTATACACCAAAGTGGGCCCTACCTTCAAGTTTGTATCTTGAGGCTCCAACCCCCAGTATCACTGTTTTCAGATACAGGGCCTCTGGGGAGGTAATGGAGATGTAAAAAGTCATAATGGCCCTAGTTCGATACTACTGTGTCCTTATAAGAAGAGGAGGGGACTCCAGAGACCTCTGTCCATGCACCAGAGAAGACGCCACATGAGGGCACAGTGAGAAGGTGGTGGCCATCTGCAGGCCTGGAAGAGAGGTCTCACCAGAAACCCACCCTGACAGCATCTTGATTTTGGACTTCTGGCCTCTGAAAGTGTGAAAAAATACATCTCTTTTATTTAGGTCTCCCAGTCTGTGGTATTTGTTATGGCAGTCCTAGCAGACCAGCACAGTGAGGTCCCTAGAGTTGTCAGACTCACAAAGGAAGTAGATTGGTGGCCTACACGGGCTGGGGAATGGAGACATGGGGCGTTGGTGTTTATTGGGGACAGCATTTCAGGTTGGGGAGGGTGAAAAAATTCCTCGAGGTGGAGGGCAGGGATGGTTACACAGCAATGTGAACGAGCTTCCAGCCACTAAACCGTATACTTCAGAAGGGTTAAATGTAAATGTTGTGTGTATTTTTTTTTTAATTTTATTTATTTATTTGACAGACAGAGATCACAAGTAGGCAGAGAGGCAGGCAGAGAGAGAGAGGAGGAAGCAGGTTCCCTGCTGAGCAGAGAGCTCGATGCGGGGCTCGATCCCAGGACCCTGGGATCATGACCTGAGCTGAAGGCAGAGGCTTTAACCCACTGAGCCACCCAAGGGCCCCAATGTTGTGTGTATTTTGCCACCAGATCAAACAAACTCAAAAACAAACCAACCAACCCTGGGTGGTTCCTCGCTGCTCTTAGAATAAAAGCTGACATCCTCCTCTGACCTCATCTCCCAGTATTTTCCTAATTTGCTTCCATCCTGCCACTGAGTCCTCCTCCTTCCTTCCTGTAGTGAAACGGTGTCTGATACTTTGCACAGGCTCTTCCCTTGCCTGAGAGGCTCTTGCCCTGGATGGCGACATGGCTCATCCCCTAACTTTCTTCAACCCTTTGCTCAGTTGCCACTTGTCTTTAAATTTAAGATCTTATTCCCCCGTGCTCATCATTTCCATTCCCTTCTCCCGGCCTTATCTGTCTTCGTAGTACGAATCCTCTTATAATATTAAAAAATACCATTTATTGATGTTTCCTTTTTAATTGTCTGTCTCCTCTAGCAGAGTGTAAGCCTTGCCAGGGCAGGACTTTCCATGTGTTTTGTATGTTACTGAGTCTTCCTTTCCTAGAGCAAGGCCTGGCAAGCAGTAAGTGCTGAATGCCTATCTTCTGAATGCATAAGTAAATGAATATTACAGGTGCTTTTGTGTGTGTGTGTGGGTGAGCCCACACACCTAACTGGTGATTAATTCACCTAACTGGTGAATTCCTTGAGGGTAGAAACCATCCCAGAGCAACGTGAAAAAAGGCATAAAAAGTTAATGTGCCATGAATATAGCTGGATGGGTGGACCAATGGATGAATGGATGGACAGATGACAGATAAATGGATAAGTGGGGGATGACGGATGGATGGAAAAGTGGATGGACAGAAAGATTAAAAAAAAAATAGATGGTGATGGTGTTGTGTTGAAAGGTGGTAGATTTGACTATCCTAAATCTGGAATGAAAGAGAGAGAGATAATAAGTCTCATATTATTTTATGAGCCGTCAGCTTCTCTCTGTTGTGGCCCCTGATCCATAACTTTTGCCTTCACCCCACATCTGCATGTAATAAAGCTTAGTTATGACATCCATATGTCTCTAATGCAAACACCCGGGCATATACTTCTTAAAAGGGCTATAAAGAGCAATGGCTCGAGAAACGACCGTTAGGAGTGCGAGTTTTTTTTATTATTTTAAAGGGCATTTCAACGACACTGCTGAATGTTCCCTGACCAGAAGTCTGACTCCTGTTCTTTCTTTTTCTTTTCTCTTCCTCTCAGGATATCAAAGCAGACTGCAATACCTGTGTGGAAATAGAGGACAGAAAGGTAAGTCAGTGTTTTTCATCTTTTTGGTTTTTAAAAAAACAAAACAAAACTCTATGATTTTAACCCAGGTGTTTAAGGCTGGATGATGGCTTGCAACCGTGATCCGGGTACTGATATTAGACGCTTAAAGGCAGTCATACTTTAAAATGTTTGTTTGTGTTACCTCTGATGGTTTCGGTGAAGAGCACATAACATAATTAAGTATTGAATATGTTGGTGCCAATTTTTTCTCTTAGTCCTATGCTTGTCTTCAGGAAAATAGCTCATTTATCCTTAACTCATTTCACCTTGTTGTTGAATGTTATGAACGATTTTTCTGTAATATTACATACATATATGGTAGGATATAAAATATTGGGCTTTCCAAGTTGTGTCCCCATATTTGATCTCTACACTTTGAGAGGGAGCCTGCCTCAGTTTCCATCATGACACATTGATGGGAGCAATGATGTTCTATGGCATAGATCTATTTATGTGAGATGTTTGCGGGGGGCAGGGAGGGGAGGTCCTTTTTTATATTTTCAGAGCCCCCCTGCCCCCCATTTATCTTCCTGTTACACTTGGTGTGGATCCACTCAGGAAAAACAACTGTTAGACAATTGTTCTCCACGACCTGTCCTTATTGACGAGAGTTCACAGCAGTTTCCCTGGTAAAGGGCATCCAAGCAGATCAAATTCTACCTTTAACGCCTTGGATCCAAAGAGGTCAAGTAAGTGAATTGAGGGTACATATCTCCTGGCTACTTTTGACATCATTCCGCAATTTTGAAAGATGTTTCTCTGTGCAACTGTACCATTATTGTCAAATGCAGTTACTTCAAGCAGAGGTTTTCAGCCCTGATTTTGTGATAGCTCCGTCATCTGCTGATTAAGAAGGTGGTTGAGGACTCCTCAAAACAAAATTTGCTTTTTAAATAAAAGGCAATTGCCATGGATTGTTTTAAGGAGTGTTAATCTCCTCCTGTTGAAAAGAATAATGATATGGAGGCTGAGATTCCCTCCTCGTGATCCTTGGGTAGGTTCCGTTTCTGGGTGGCTCTCTCCGTTTGCAGGCAAAGGCATTTCAGTTCATATTTGTGTCTGCTGCGTATTTGCATGCTGTCGTTCTTGTAGGTGTGTAATTTTGTGTGTTGGGCAAATGGAATTAAGGCTGAACATATGTCTACAGTCTTTTTTCATCCGTTCCTCCCAATTCTGCTGTGGGGGATCCGCCCCAGCCGCTCTGCCCACATCAAAGTGAAAGCTGATGTCCCCTGCCCTGCTTCCTACATTCGGGATGCTTCCACTTCCCTTGGACTTTTGTGGAAATCACAAGCATGTTTCTTTCATATATATGATTTTTTTGGGTATCTTCTTTGCTAGTAGTGTTTCAAAGACACCAGGAGTCCTGATACCTTACAACAATATCAGTTCTGTCTTCCGTAAGATAAATGAGCAGCCAGGATAATCTCTGGGCAGTGAAAGCCGGCCACATGGCTCCGTTCTGCTGATCCAGACTGCCATTGGTTCATATATCATGGCAATAAGGATCCCCCAAGTCTGTGGATGCCTCGTGATGTTTTATTGGTAGGAAAAGTCATATCTGTACACGGCTTCCACTATTTTCAGACAAGAGAAACACACATGCGTGTGCACACACATGCACACACGTATATGCATTTCTGTGCTTTGTCATAGCCTGTGGGGTTGAGTCAGGCACGCCAAAAACAGCCTCGTCTCCGAACAGGTTCACCCGGGGTTTTCTAAACATGAGTTCTCGTGACCGATGGCGCATGAATTGACCACACCTCTCCGCTGGCAGTCCATTGGTGATGACTCCTAGCAGTCCCACCGCTATAATGCCCACCTCCGTTTCTGCCGTCTTCTTCTCTAAGGACTTATTATTCCTTCTGTCCAATGGGAGAAATTTTCTTCCTCCAGGAATTCGTTTCTGACTTATTTTTGTGTGATTCTTACATTTGGGCTGTAGCTCCTCTGGGTCTCCTAATGGGGCTGAGGGTGGGGGTGAGGTTTGGGGGGTAGCTCTGTATGTCAGGGTCTTGTCTCCTAAGGGAAAAGTCAACCCCAGTCATCCCAGCGCGGCGCCGGCCCCACCCCCGCCGAAGGGTGCCGGCCCCGCCCATGTGTGCAGGGTTGTGGCAGGAGGGCACGCAGGGAGAGGGCGGCCGAGGCATCAGGAGTGATCTTGATCCAGGCTCTCCAATGCACTCTGGTACTTCTGTCACCCTGACGTATAATTATGAAATTTCACCATTGAAGTGATGACACTTGCTCCTGTGTGCGCGCGCGCGCGTGTGTGCCCCTCTCCACTTAATCCGAATGCTTCTGGCAAAATCGGTAATTTGATAAAGTGGAATTGAAGTGACGAGAGATGACAGAGGTGCCAAAATAATAAGTCAGCCTGCCTCTGAAGACGCAGCCCTTGGCCCGTGTGGGTTTTTACGAAGCACTGAGTGCTCTGAAGCAAACCAGCCGTGATTTCTCGAAAGCTCAGTTTCCTGTAGTCAGGGAAGCTTAACGTGGTATCTGTGGGACGAGGTGGATCCCCGGGGAAACCTGGTTTTTATTTCCTTTTTCATTTCCCTTCTGCTTTTCCTTCCTTCCTGTCTGCCTCTCTTCAGTATACTCTCTCTGTTTGGATGCGCTTGCGGGCTTACATCTGTGCCTCTGGCTGTGGTTGAGGACCTTCTGGAGAGAAGGATTTTAGAGAACGGGAACTCGAGTTTGCTGTGGAGTCTAATAGGGTCTTTCCCTGCTGCCCCCTCCGTTTTCATGCCTCATCCTGTCCAGCAGATGAATCATTCTTGCATTGACTGCATCCCGCAGGTACAATGACAGAAGATAAGCGGTGAGCCCGTAAGAGCTGAGAGAGCCCACATCCTTCCTGTTTTTCTGGTCTGCACACTGGTTCTGTCCGAGACCGAGCGAGAGAATCCTTCTCTCCCGCGTCTCTGTGTTTCTTTATTCTGGGTGCCTGTCTTCCACTGGCAGACATCGGCAAGGAGCTCCCTGCCGATTGCCGGTTGCATATGGAGAAATGCGGGCCTCGTATCGGGGGAGTGCTTCTGTTTCACGGTTCCCTTCTGCTTCCAAGCTCACCAAATCCCAGAGCCCCCGTGAGTGCACCTGCATGTGGATGGCTTTCTGGCCATTTCTTAGAGTCATTCAGAGGCTGTCACGGGAAGATCTCAAAGGCTGCAGGCATTTTTCACCCTTAAGTGGGAAGCAGAGCTCAGATTGTTTCCTCCCACAGTGAATGCCGTGGAGCTAATGCAGATTTAGCAAAGGTGATGGGAGCCAGCCCATCACTCGGAGCGGCCGTATGGCCTTGCAAAACCGCCTGCCCTTGACATTTACAGTACCCTTGTTGCTTGTGCGGAGCCGAGGCATTTAAATTCATTTTTATTTGTGGTGTAAAATCCATCTGAATTCCAGTACTATTATGAAGACTGCAATTCAGGTGATGGCAGAAGAGGTGGATGGATCAGCCGGGGGGAGAATCTGTCAGGAGGAGATGAGAGCCCATTTGTCAAAGGCTATAAACACAGACAGCCCTTCCTCTTCTCGCTTGCTGCCTGGCCTGGTGCGGCTAAACAGTTTCAGATCCGCTATGAAATTGCATGGAAGGAGTCTGAGCTGTTTTCAAAGTTGGGGCGACTTTCAGATTGGATCCAGTTGGAGCTGCGATGGGGTCCGGAGCAGATGCTGCCTGCCTCGGTTAACCCTGAGCCTTCTGTTCTGACTTTTCCCTGTTATGAGACTCGCTCTGGATCAGGACTCTGAAGGGCCTTCCGTACTCTCAGCACCCTGTGCGGGAGGTACCAACAGGATCCCCATTACAGAAAAATGGAAGAGGTTAAGTGACTTGCCGGAGAACGAGTGGCATCAGAGGCCAGGATCTGAACTCACAGATTCTTTTTTTTTTTTTTTTAAGATTTTATTTATTTATTTGACAGAGAGATCACAAGCAGGCAGAGAGGCAGGCAGAGAGAGAGGGGGGAAAGCAGGCTCCCTGCTGAGCAGAGAGCCCCGAGGCGGGGCTCGATCCCAGGACTCTATGATCGTGACCTGAGCCAAAGGCAGAGGCTTTTAACCCTCTGAACCACCCAGGCGCCCCTGAACTCACAGATTCTTAACGCACAGCCTAGGCTCTTAGCTCTAACGCTAGACTGCCTCACACACACAAACATGAGAATTACGTTTGTAGGAGATTTGCCTTTTCCTACAGATGAATTTCTGCCCAGACTGGCATCTTCATCCATTGCCAACAAAATCACCTGTTTTTCAATTTAGGACAACCTTCAGCCCTCATGTTCTAGCTCTGGTAGAGACTCACCATATTGACTTACCATACCCTTGTCAGCCCTGACCCTCTGATGAGCCGCTGGCCCCGGTGGTGGGGATGCCAGGACTTTTTCTGGTCTCTCGAGGACAAGAGAAGGCAGCCTGACATACAGTGCTGGCTTCTGTTTCTGGTAGACCTGGTTCAGTTCTAGCTTTTGTCTTTTCACGAGGGTGTTTGCAAGGATTAGAAATTCCATGCTCACAGCACAGGAGTGAACATAGTATAGGAGTGAAAAACATAGGTCTTAGAGCTTGAAAATCCTGTTTTTTGGGGTTTTTTTAAGATTTTATTTATTTGACAGACAGAGATCACAAGTAGGCAGAGAGGCTGGCAGAGAGAGAGGGGGTTTGATGTGGGGTTCGATCCCAGGACCCCGGGATCATGACCTGAGCTGAAGGTAGAGGCTTTAACCCACTGAGCCACCCAGGCTCCCCAAAAGTCCTGAGTTTTTATCCCAGTTCTCCTACTTAGCAGTTCTGTGACTTTGAGAAGCTCTCTTACCTTGTATCAGTCTCCATCTGCCTGTCTGTGAATTAGAGATAATATAACTCACTTGAAAAGTTGATTTGAGGAGTTGATAATACTGTAAGGCAGTATGTGACACACACACACACACACACACACACACACACACACACACACGTATAATGCCTGG